AAAATAAGTAGTAAAGTAAAGTAAAAATATCAGAAAAATCTACTTGAGTACAGTAACGAAGTATTTGTACTTCGTTACTTCCCATCTCTGACAAGAACACTGGGACCCTTTTTGCCTCAGTTGTGAGACAAATTTGCCCCAATTTCCTCATCGCCACGGCCGTATCTAGACCCTCATCTAGTTCGTCATTGTCCCTCTTGCGTTGTGGGGTGCAATAACGTAGTGCAGACCATGCCACAATTTGAGCATAAATCAAAAATGTCTGCAACAAGCTCACTGTGGTACACTGCTGCAGGAGTATAACCAGCCCTTAAGGCCTCTGTACATGCGCTAACCACTGCACCACCGAAGCATGCATGAAACAACTACGTGAAAGTACCTAAATATGATTAAGTAGATGCCAAAAATGGTTGCATAATTTTTTGCAGAAACCACCTGTGGATTAAATGATATTTCAGTGCTCAAATGTAACAGGGAATCCACTGAAAAAAGCAATGTCCATATGAAAAAAGACAGAGACCATTTCTTAACAATAAATTTGCTACTTTTAATCTTTGTGTATATATTTTTGTTAACCTTTTTTCTGTCTTTAACCATTTCGTCAGAATTCAAACAGCTGTGTTTATGTGGTATTTCTATAAAGCCCAGAGTGAGGATTTTAGGACCAAATTAATTTAAAGTTTACATTGCTATTCATATTTCAATAAACATTAGTTTATTCTTTAAACAACCCCCCACAGCACAAGATACTGCTGCTGAGGGGATTTTCAAACTACATGTCATTACTGCATCATTCCCTGAACCTGCAAAGCCAGCTGGGTCTACCTCGCATGGCGAGTTAGGGGTGTAAGAAAGGAAGGCTGAGTTTCTACCCTCTTTGCTGTGTCAGTTCTTTCACAAAACACATAGTGGTAGCAAAACCGCCTCTAAGTGCTGCTTTGAAATCTTTGTGATAGGAGCTAATTATAGCATCAGTGCCAATACTACAGTCAAACTGGCGAGTAAGCCAATACATTCCCCATCTTAGTCAGGTAAAAGGTTTTCATTCTACCTTGTTTAGAAGTTTATGACAACAGTACTTTTGTTACTCTTCAACACTGGAAAAAAGTCAGATGATCTTATGAAATAAACAATAAAAGTGCTTGTTAGTCATGATTATCTTGCCAAGGAGCACCCTGCTGAGGCATTCCATCTTTCATGAACCACTCTACATTTATAAAATATGCTAGTGGGCGCAACTAAATGCAAATGTAAAACTATTCATCTATATGAGCTGGTTCAATTAAAAACACCGACAAGGAAATCATATACCCTGTACTGTTAATGAATATCCCTTTACTTTGAAGATTAATTACATTGAATAAATGTGGCTAGCAGCTTTCTGCTGCTAACACTGCATTGTTTCTACTCAGAAACCAAAATTAAAATACTTCCAAAATAATGCTTTGCAAATGTCTTATATCTACATTACTTTGATAAAATCTATAAGTTTGTTTTAACAGTGTAAGATCAGTGCTTTGCATCATTACCAAGTAAAATTGGGAACTTTTTGCACATTTAAGGAGCTTCTAAACAGTCCACAATAATAAGCAGTTCCCATATATATATATATATATATATATATAATATATATATATATATATATATATATATATATTAGTTGAGAAACAGATAATGTGCATAAAAGAACCCAATAATTCACGTTGCTCATCTTTGGCTTGTCTGAAGTATTTGTCACAGTTAATTCTCTGTGGAAACCCGCTTTCGTTTGTACAATCAGATGGGAATCTAGCCTCCAGTGCGTTTCTGTATCGACATGCATTCATTTTTCCCCGGTGTGCGTCGGTGCCAACAACCCAACCAAACGCGTTTGGCACAGGCGCTCCAAACTTTCAAAAGATCAAAGGCATTACAGTAGCGACACAATTACGCTTGATTGTCGCCACTTTCTTATGTAAATCTGTTAAAACAAGCCGTTAAAAGCCCCTGAGCGCAAATAGGTCATAATACAAAGAGCACAGACTGGTTAAACGCATATAATCTAAATTAAAGTGTAGAATATATATATATAAAATCATTTAAATATATATTTTCAATGAACCGATCTTTAAAATGCATGTAGATCATGGCGAGGATATGCCAAATAATTTGCAGGAAAGTTATCCACCTCAGCTGTGAGGGATTCCCTGCATGACACTGAGCTGAACATTTAGCTTTGTTCCAAAGGAGATAAGAGGTCTGGAGTTGTCTTCTTTTATCGGTGATCGGCTACTGTCCAGGGAGAGGCCCATTCAGCCTTTTGGCGCACTTTATCTCCTCTACTTTGAAGATGCGCTCTGATCCCGTTGGATAACAATAAAACCACCCGGGACACCGCATGCACACTGGGCGCATTTCCTCAGCTGCCTCCTGGGCGCAAATGCTTCTCCTACTGTATTCTAATGTCTCAGACGAATCATAGTGGTTTGTTTGTTTGTTTTTTTTGTTGTTGTCTGGGGCAGAAGTGGACTAAAAAGGAAGCATTGAAAATCTGTATTAGAAGTCTATTAACGGCCTGTAGTGAGACACAAATTATGCATTCTGTTTCCAGGAATCCAAATATTATTGATATATAATTAATGAGCAAAAGTGTCAGTTTAAGCTCTCTCAGTGTGAATTATAGTTTTTTTATATTCTGTAAAGCCTTGCAATTATTTTTCATATAAAAAAGGGAAAGCCTCACGAGCTTGAATGTATTTACACATTTTTAATTACACATGTATTAATGTCATGTCTTTAATTTTAACATGACATTGTGATTAAAACTGCCGTGCCTTAAAATAAACCATTCATTCATTTTAAACATTTCACTACTGATCAGCAAACTTTAAAGTATTTTATGACATGGTGTGTGGGAGTACATAGTTTTCAAAACTAAATATCAAGAAAATGTGACATGCATTCATATTAAACCACATCATTTGTATACAGAACCTACTTTAATATCTAATACATTTAGACCATTAATAAGAGAATATTGGGAGAACATGCAAATTCCAAGCTGAACATCCATCCAAGCTTATTTTGCCAGTATGGTAATGATGCTTGAAACTGTGGCACCATGCAGCCAAATCATTGATCAGATGATATTGGGCAGTACTGGAAGAAGCACATTAGAGGGAGCAACAGATTGGGAAAGGTTAGCCTTCCAGAAGAGCATTGGCATTTACTGCCAGACCTATAACACCCAGACCTGTAAATACAAAAAAATTGTTATTTGAAAATCATGTTATGATGCCTGTTAGGTTAACTGGCCTCTCTAAATTCTCCTTAGGTGTGAATGTGTGCGTGAACGGTTGTATGTCCTGTTTGTCTCTTTGTTGTCCTGTGATGGACTGGCGACCTGTCCAGGGTTGACCCTGCCTCTCACCCATTGACTGCTGGAGATAGACACCAGCCTGACAAGTGTGTCAGATAATGGATGGATGGATGGATGGATGGATGGATGGATGGATGGATGGATGGATGGATGGATGGATGGAT